GTAGCAGGCAGCCAATGATGGTGGCGCTGCGTTTAACGTCAAGGTGAGGGTGGCCGCACAAAAACAGCGTCGTCACATCGAATTGAACCGTCATCCAGTCAACTTGTAAGTTAGTGGACTAGTGCCTATTCGCTAACTGCAGCACATGAATAGTACTGGTAATATCCAATAGTGTTTGATACCGTCGCGTATGCCAGAGTGTCCGCATCGAAACTTTCCTAAATCGCACATCCCTTCTGCGTCTGTGTACGGGTGGGGAGAGCGATTCTGAGCAGCGACTATCGGGTACAATGTGAGCACTTTTAGCCTCTTCGGCGGGCAAGTTGCTATACGCCCTAGCGATTTATGATAGACCACACATACGCTCTTCCTTCCGGGCGCCTGCGACGGTTAGGTAATCGTATACCAGGAGCACAACTCATCCCAGACGAGTCAGCACTACCACTATGATTGGTAGCGATAATGTTTAGCATCAGCAGCCCCGAAGCAGAGCCTTCATTGTAGCCGTTATCCTTGCCTGACTGCTACGGCAGCTGTCGCCAGCAAATAGTATCAAGGAGCAACAATGCCTGTCCAATCGGCTCGCAGCTAACTTGTGGCCAATGGCAAGGAGTCTAACAGGCGCTCTGGAGGCGTCCGGTATTCGACGGATCGCGCAAATTCACGAGGACAACAACGAGTGGCGATCATGACGCAGCGGCCGTCGCTAGCGCACTCGTTTTTGTTGCCACCACCACGATCGTCACCACGGCTGATTTCGAACTATCGACAAGTCGCTACTGTTCGGACATCGATGGGCAGTGATCCTGATGCCACGTCCTAGTCGATTGAGCCTGTCGGGGTGCTGATGCTTGAACTGCCAGCTCTGGTGGCGACGGCTGTGCAAATTTGCGGATAGTCTTATTATGACAACATTCGTAGTAACCAAAGTAGTAATCATACACATAGTCAGATCGTCAAAGCGGATAGCTTAGCGCTCAAAGCAGCAGCAGTCTCCTTTGCACAGCTATTGAGCCGTTTCTGCCGCAGTGCCTCAAGCGACTTCAACAGCGAAAACGAGAATAACCACTGCTATTATGAAGGAAAGATATAAATACACATATACATAAGCATAGATAGTTACTGGCCACGTACAGCTTTCAAATTATTTCCGCTCGCTGTCGCAAATACGGCATCAAGGCGCGCTTATCTAGAGAGCTCCTCACTCCAGCCGCGTCCCGGGAGACCATGAGCGTGTAAGACGGCGTGCGGCGCCCATCGTTTATTTGGGAACAACAAATCGTGCGGATGCCGGCCGGTCGGCAGGCCGGTTGACTGATCGGTTAGATGGTGGTGCACTGCAAACATACTTGCAGCAATAACAGAAACAGCATCAGCAACTATAAGGAAGTGTCGGTCGCATAAATATTTATTATGCAGATGTAATTAGTGAGTGCCTATTAGGGCTTTCGTTACCGTCCTGTAAAAGTGCAAAAGTGAAAAGGGCTGACCCAATCCGACAAACGAAAAAAGCCATTTCTGGTCAGCATTTTATTATTTCGGTACACCTAAAAGTGTACGAAATTAGCTACCTCCTCGAAAACACTACAAACGGTACCCGAAGGAAGATACATTGATACACCCTTTTGTTAGACCCGCCAATTCAATCGTCGGTGTGTGCCTTACCTAAAGACAGAGAAGGAACAAACGATACTGTAGATTATGAACGGACGATTGTCTGATTGTCTGCCTGAAAAAAGGTATACCCTCATTGCGATAGTCATTTGAATGCAGTAGCTGACCAAGTTCGGTGTAATTTCGGCATCTTCGAAGATGCGATGAAGCGGTATTAGTCTTATAGAGGCTCACATTATGATTGATTGATTTAGTGACCAAGTTACAATACAGCCACACTTTTAATAATTACTTAAACAGCGACAACCGAAGCTATCATTGCAAGTCAGGTCAACTTCATAACGACGGGACCGCGGTGAGTTGAGATCGCTCTTAAGCTCTTAAGACCGCCTACGATACGCTAGTCGGCTTACGTGACGATCGTAATCAGCAAACTTCTCGAGCTTCTCTGCGAAACTCCTCCACAGCTTTAAAGTAGTCTTTCTGTAAGAACAAAAAATGCTTTTGTTCTAAGGGATTTAGAGGATCCAGTAAGCTTCTAAGAACATGCTGTACCGGAATATCTGTTTTTGCTGAACAGGCCAGAGTACGTGTTTGTTCTTGAGAGAAGTGTGAAAAAGAAGATCGCTTCTTAAGTTCTGGCTTGTTGTGTTCATTTGACTATGTCGCACTGGAAATTTAAAAAAAACGTCGACACCAAATCCACGATTTTCGTGATGTAACTGTGATTGTGGAGCTTTAAGCACAATCAAAAAGAAAGGATAGAATCGGAAAGTCTATTGACATGCGTGTGTGCACGTTTAAAAATAACCTAAAGCCGGTTCAAGTGATCTCCTGTGATTTGTGACTGAGAGCTAGTTGTGCAGGTCCAGAATCACAGTTCATGAGTCTTCATTAACAGAGCGAAAGTACTTGTGCGCGTATCGGAATTGGCTGACCATTACCAAGCGGAACGCCGGGCAGCACCGCTTGTGCCTAGTCAATCGTTGCCCCTGAAGAGAACGTCCTTGAGCCACGCTGCAAAATCGACTAATCTTAAGTTATGGTAGGCTCCTGGCGGCAAATCAACCCCAAGCGTCGCCCGTAAGTTTTCCCTCAATCCCTACATAACAACGTTATAACGGCATGTCCTTCAAATTAAGGAATCGTCTTCACTTTTGTGATGAAACGCTCATAATATTTTCTAACGTCTGCCGTGAATGTATACTAATGTTAAAGTCCCTCATTACTGCTACACGGACGGAATTTAGCGTTGACAACGCTATCTGTGAAACGCCACAAACGTTATATACGCGTTTTTAAATATTTCATTGAAATGACTGTTGTATGTGTGTCTCATGGGGCAGAATGCCGCTATCGCCCACCAGCGACGCTGCTTCCGTTTCAAACAGAAGCAGTTTAGAAAGTTTACCGCCGTGTTTTATATCTATCTAACAACGTTATATTACAAATATTAAGTAAGTAATGAAGCTGAAGTAAACATATATATATCTTTTTTTATAGCTTAAACATTATATATATATATATATATATATATATATATATGCAAACAAGGATCTACAACATGCTGGTAATACGTGCTAGTATCGAAAGTGTACACCGCATATATTGGTATATTATGATTCAGAAATTACAGAAAAACAATCCACTCGTTGGGATTTGGTTAGAAAGGTTGATTTATATCAGTGTTCTGAATTGAAGATTCCCACTGAGTCCGAGTCAAAGAAATATTGACAAAAAGCGACATCTGCCTGAGCGAGGAGGATGAAGTCATAAAAGTGAGTAACTATTAACAGTCACACGTTGATATTTTGATTATTATTATTGCTATAGGTGTATGGGCCATTTGGCAAAGACGGCGTTTTGCCACTGCGTAGGTAGGTCATTGCGTGTTCGTTTTTGAATTATTTAACTGTATTTTCTGAAAAAAAATCGAGGCAAAAGACAACCGATAGTAGCGCCAAAAATAGTCGAGTCATCGCTTTCGTCGGGTTAGGTCCGCTATGTCGTGTTTGTTTCCACATCATTTAATAAGATAACGAGAGAATACTCGAGCAATCTAGATCCAGTTACGCTGTCTTGTCATTTATCAATATGCACAACTTTTGAGAGCCGGTAATTGATCGAGCTACGTACGTATAATGTCTATGAGACTAACTCGTAGAATAACAAAAAACAAAGTAACGAGGGGTTAGACTGTAGAAGTGCACACTCAGATAGCATGCATGAAAATATCCTATTGCGCATTTGGTTACTAAGTGGATTTTCTGACGAAGAGCAGGGTCTCCCCACAAGGGCCTGTTTTATTTGTTCTTACAACAGACCTTTGACGTTGCTGGCTACTGCAGCAAGGCGCTGTACTACGCGATCCGTAAGTAGCAGCTATTGTGAAAATTTTTGGTTCTTTAAATCGAAAACTAAGACGAAACAGACTAGTAGTATTGCTTTTACAATAACCTGGCGATTGCCCCATTATAATAAGGGGGCGCTCATGATGTCGTTAAAAAAATGTGCTTAAATACTTTATATATATAATGTTTCTATAGATATGTATATATACAATTGTTCACGGCTAGGTATTTAGTGCCGTGTGCTTGTTTCGGATGTATGTTTGCCCGTGGGTAGCTAAAATATATGCCATTTTCGTAGTTACTGATAACTTTTAATTGATTTTTATACAAATTAATGGCAGTACTGCCGAACTATCAAATTATTCCTCTCTGTTCGTCTGATTCCGTCCACTGAATTACGGGCGAAGAGGAAATGATTGAACTTTGTCAACTCTTGAGGGGGGGAGAACAGCTAACTGTTGTGGCGGATGGTGGCGCCGCTTGTCAAAAGAACGGTTTTGTGACAAACAAATGATCATCTTCAAATAAAAGGTCGGCCTAAACCTACAGGTCTACCATAAGACATCTTACTGTCTATGCTAAACGTTCTGAAGCCTTCCATTGACCCATTCCTGTAAAGCTACTTGCGTCCCTGCTTACGCATTTCCGGTAGAGACAGGTTTTCGATAAACCACGAGTTTGATAAAAACATAGATCATAGACTACGGTTATTACACAACGCCACTGCTTGGAGGGCAAAGCTGCCCTTCCTCCAATAGGCGCTGGTCCATACATGTCTATAGTATATGTTGCAATAAAGCTTAGTTGTATCATCCTCGAAAATCGGGAGTGATCTTGGCTATGGAAAGGTTTGCAATCGCGGTCATTCTATTGCGGAACTATAGTAAACAGGGTAATGGCGTAGCTGGTCAAGTTTGCCTCCTCTCAGAATGACGATACAGGTATGTTGTGTTTACTTTATTCCTTCGATTTTTCCAATTCGGCGATAGACAGAAACGTGGCCTTAGCTTAGCAAGTTCTATCGATAGAGAGTTAGGAGGACGTCCAGGACATTTCGAGGTGGACAAGCACAGTTATTAGTGAAACTAATACAATTGAACGATATCTTAAATGGTGTAAAAACAAAAAGAAAACATGTCTTGAGATCGGTTTTAGATGCTATGCGATAATTGCTTGTAAAAAAATAATATCATGTACTTAATTTACGGCAAGATAATTACGGTTTTTGGTAGAGGTTTGAATCGCGAAATGACTCAGATTTACTAATAATCCTTTGCCTCAGTCAACTGCAATGGATCGCCTTTAAATATGATTTGTGCAAGCTCTCATGTACAAATAAAGCTTATCAAATATCTACACACTGTCAGAACTCTTTTCTTATATTTGAAAATGGTATATGCTTATTTTATTGCCAGACACCTGCTAGCTCAATCGATGACCATGTAGAAAAGATACAAAAGTAACGAGGAGATACTGGCGCTGTCTATAATTAGAGATTTTATTATTTGTCAAGCACAGTAGTAGGATCTTACCCTGTCGAACATGCCCACACGACGAGTTTTACCGCATTTCATTATGGGTCATATGAATTCATGCCTCTTATGTCGTTAAACCTATAAAACAGCTCGGTCTGTACATGTGAAGCTGGGATATAGACAAATACCTAACGGTTATAAACTATACGCTCTCTACAGGCGCCAACAATATCCGTAAATATATAGACGGTTAAAAAATAATAGTGTTTGAAACAAACCCAATTGCTTTGTGGTAAGCTTCCGACTGGCTATCATCTGTGAGCTAGCTTCAGGATTTTTCTTCCATGTAGAAATTTTGCGCTGTTTAAAGGTCCCTGTGTGTGGCTTTTCGGTTTTCGATTTACCGGTATGCAAATACGAAGATTAAAAGCGTTAGCAAAACGCCTGTTTTACAGTTATTTTTTTTGCGAACGCCGCAACAGGTGTTACATAGGTAAAACGTCAACACTCTATTATAGTGTTGGCATTTCAATTCCTTAGAATTTGTACGTTTTAGACAATTTTTTTTAAAATGCACATACTTTTTTTTATGTAATAATAATTGGAATATAATAGCGAAAATCTGAAATCGTTCTCCAATTCGTTTACATGTATAATAGACAAGTGATTTATGTAAAATCTATCGATGTTCATGTCAGGTTGTCGGAAGCTGTTGAAACTAAATAACTGTTTACGTTTATAGCACAGTACAGCAGTAGTTTCGTACATATTAGACAAATGGTTCTAGCATTTCGACAATTTGTGAGTTGCGTTAATAAGGCTCAGTTTGTTACCGATGGCCTATAGACGGCATGCTATATAACATACCGTCTTCTTTACACTAGCTCATATAAAATATGGACTCAAATAAAGTCAACATCCAGTTCTCTTCCTGTCTGGCCAGGCTGAAGATGAAGCACGGCGGTGAGGTCATGCGTTATCGATTGCCGCCCCATACATTTATGAAGCTCTTCAGAAATTTCAACTAGCTGTTAATATCCCTTATATGCAATATAAATAAAAAAAACGCTCCTAGCATCAATTCCCGTGTGAGAATCAGCTTGAGCCCGAACTTTACTTGGAAATGTTATCACGGTCGTTTTCTCTGTCGTTCGACATTATTCTCTCGCTCATATCTACGATGTGATGACGGGCTGATTTTTGCTGACAGCTTTCAATCACCCCGTTTCCAGCCTGGAAAGAGTTTTTTTTTTGCTACAAACCTTATTGCCCGGTGTTAGTTGGTCTATTGGATATTGGACGTTCATCTGTAAACACAGTAGCACTTTGGTACTCATACACAGCCAAATATTTGAGATAAATTTTCTACTTCTAATTTGTAATATTATATTTTTAACCAGCGGCGCCTAGTATTAAAACGGCTAGCTTGTCAAACAGTTCCGGACAAGCTAACAGATTAAAAGGATCAGAAAATCAAAATTGTTTGCTTTGCTAGTCAGCCCAACTAACCTGAAAGCAGCTACCAGTAGAAAAGCCCAACAATTTTCGACAGACATTACAATGGAAAACTTTAACCACCAACTATCAATAAATAAATTACGCCAATCACCTAAACGCACACAAAGTCACAACGCAGCTCGTACGACCCATAAAAAATCAATTTTGTCCAAGGATATCGGTCTTCGCACTGTGTATCCGGTCGACTACTCAATAGGTAGTGTTATTCCATTCTGTGATCTTACAAGCATCGTCCACTCTTATTAGTGTACGCCACAATCTACCAAATCGCGCTGCTAATGATAACCGCAGGTGAAGGGGCAATCAATCTCATTGTATTGAATACTGCGTTTTCCGAAGTAAGGGGTTATCCCGAAGATCCTCAGCGAATTTACGAGACCGAACAAGAAACGGTCTTCCTAACCGCATAAACTGATGTCTTTTTTGTGTTTTGTATATTATTGATACATGACATGTACGAAGTGCGAGCCTTATAGCATCTCACGTGTCACCAGGTTCAGTAGGTGAACGCGTCGTCATCTTCGTAGAAGATGGCCAAAGCCGAACTTTTAGGTGAGGTGGGGGAGAGGATGCGCGTAGAGCGTTATGCTTAATTGCATGAACTCGGCCTAACCTACTTCACATGTTCCTATCTTTCCTGTGCATTGTTGAATTTCGGATCTGCTGTGAGCGGCGCACACGGCAACCACGTGCTCATGCGGACGTAGCGCGCTACTTATAATGATGTTGCCCCCAAGCAATCGTAAAGGAATGGCAATCAGGATCACGATAAGCTAGATTTGGTATCCGGCTCGTCAATAATACGTCAATGATTATACATCATGCACTGAACCGTCTCATAGTCACCACGTTTACCGATACTGTTGTCACTCAAAGCGGCCACGTCTGGAGTTGTGAGCGTCAAGAACGACAATGATAAAAACGAAGTTTGCGATCACAACGTTTTTTAGAAATAATTAGGGTAAGCGCCGTACGGCCGGACAGTTGCTAGTGCGTTGTCCCGTTAACAGAGGCCGTCCCGTGTGAAGGGGTAATCATTGGCTGCTTAACAGGCCATCACTAGTTCACTCACGGACAGCAGAACTTCTTTGAGCGGTTCTGTCGACATATTGCGCTGCCTTTATTCTGACTGCAGCTACTACTCCCTACGTAGTCGCCACTGAATCGAATTGAACTGGAAGCTGATTCGAAGAAAGTCGAATAGTCGCATCTCCTTCATCCGCTCATCAATGCAGCTGATCCTATGCGGCCAACATTTGCCGCTCCGTCGCGGCGCTTCTCGCTGTTTGAGTTACATATCGGATACACTTTTGTGCTTCTCTTATCATCTCCTGATTCGTCGTCTCCGGCGTTCCACCGTTTCGTGTTCCAGCGCAACAATACACGACATCATGCCGTCAAGTCGGGTCGGGGTGGGCGCGCCATCTGGTGGAGCGAGCCATAGACCGACCGCAGACCTCTTTCGTCGGTGGCCGGGTGGCCGGCGACTGCCTTTCGGCCGGTCATGCGCTGCTCGATGCTTTTACTACTGCCACCTCCTACTACTGATGCTGCCATTGCCGCATGTTGATCTGTTCTATGGAGGCCGTTGTGCTGCCACAAGGCAATCCCAGTCAGCAGCAGCAGGAACGGAGGCATGGGCAGCAGCCGCTGGTGGCGCCAACTCGATCATGAGGGCCTGGTAGAGCAGACAAGTCAACGGACAGCTCGCGAGTGTACAACAAAGAAGCTGTAGCTGTCGCAGCCATTGCCGCCGGCGCTAAGTAAGCAGAAGACACCGAGCTGCGGGGAGTGGATCCTTTTTCCGTCCATGTGCTTGCGGCGTAGACGGCTGGTAGACTTCCTGCTGCTGCTGCTGCTGCTGCTGCAGCGGCAGCGGCCGCCGCTGCTGCTGCTGCTACAGCCGATGGTGGCGCACCTATATTGATGCTGATTTCTCTTTGGCTGGAGGCATTGCCACCGTAGAGTCCTGTGTAGCCGGTCTTTGGCCGCGTGGTGCTCGTTCGTGGGCTCGTAGTCTTAGTGCCTTTACAGAACGGAGAAGTTCCGTCAATTGCTTCGACTGCTGCTTCTATTAGTGCTCACTACGGCAAAGCAGCTTCTGGAGCGGCGGTCTTTGATCGCTGCTATGAAAAGCTTGTTACGAAAGTGGCATTATCTTCAAGTTGAATTGAAACAAGTTGTGGAAACACGTAAGACGAACGTGGAGCAGCTGAGACACCTGAGACTAATATATTAACGGGAAAACAAGAGTTATGCCAGTTCTGAGTGCGACGTAAGACGCAGGAAAGCCACGAAGGACAAGGCCGTGCTGCTACATTACTGTTTGTTGTGAGGTGATAATCAAAGAGGGATAGTCAAATCGTATGCACTTAATAAACGTGAAACTGTGACCTGTTAAGATAGGAAATTTTCGTAACTCAAGTGATCGTGTTTACAGTCGGTATATCGGATAATGCAGTAAAAACGAGCGTATGTTGTCACTTACTGCAACGGTGTGAGAGGTAGATTTTTAACTGAAAGTACGCAACTTAAAAGTTCCTGTGGATCAAGACGCTAGCAGTTATTTAGCGTGTGATCTGCGCACGACAAAAAAGTGGATCGTGTTTCTCAGCGAATGACTAATTTCTGCAGTGTGACATTAGCGGTGTACTCAATCATTGTCTGCACTTGGAACGTTAGAATACTATTACGGATGCGCGTATGAACGTACCTCTCTGTGTGTCCTTATCCTCTTCTAGAGAAGGGCTGTTAGTCATTAGCTAGATTAAACTTCACCAGTTCAGTAATGGACGAGGACTCCAAAGAACCACTGCTTCAGCGAAATGGATCTTCGAACATCCAGCGGGCGAAGAGAACGCCCTTGTGAGTAATAATCGTCATTAGACCTACTAATTAGTATTTCGAACGGTGGGGCAATATCCAAGGAATGTCATCAAATCGAACAGAAAATAATTAAATCGAATAACAGTGAAAACAACTAGAAACATAAACACTGTGTGAACATTAAGTGGCGATGAGTTTCGAGAACTGAACGTTTGTCACTTCATTTACTCATCTGCGGACGGTCATGTCACAGGAGACTGTTGTCTGATCACAGCAATAACTACGTTACGGCTAAACGTGGATCTTCTGGAATTTCTCCGATCACAGATAATCGACTTCAGTAATCGCTACTACATGACTACTAACTAGATATTTCTACTGAACATGTTCAGATACGTGAGAGGCGACGATAGTCAAAGAGTACTGGTGCTAGCCTTCAAAGGCAACGGGGGGCAATTAAGTTCTTGTTCTCGCAAAACCGGTACTGTCGCAGATGCGTCAACATCTGTCAATAAGTAACCTTTAGACAGCTTATAAAAATCACTATATCTTAACTCAATTCAGGTTATATGAATCAACATGAGGCTGTAATCGCCATGCGGCTAGTGGTTAGTGTCCCTTTGGGCTGTTGGTGGCCTACTGTCGACTGTCCACCAACCTGAACCGGTTGCCCGATTCGCTTCGGTAGTCTAGGGGGCGAGGCACTGTTCACTTTTCCGCCATATGCTGCTTGAGAATCTCCACCAATATCTTATGTACTAATGTTACAAACATATCTAAAATGTACATTTTTTAACACGACCCCATGCTAATCTACGTAGTTCATATCTTCATGGCTATAGGGCAGGCCATATGGGGTGCTCCAGCATGCTGCGAGATGGTTGTCGTGTCTTATGCGTGCTTTTCTCTGCGTGGAAAGATCTACCTCAAACGTTGTGCTGGACCATGTCCTAACCGTAACGGTCCTAACCGGAGTTATCAGTGTGTTGTTGTGACTGACACCATGCTGCGGGTACTAATGATACCGTTGATAATATTATAATGCTGATGTCCGTATTCGGAATTTGTTTGTTCGACTATGGCAAACTTGTCGACAACATTTCTTCGATAATCACACCCCGCTCCATTGACGAAAGCCCCTTGATTTGTCATTATCACCGTAATGTAATATTATTTAGCTGTGTCAGTGCTTTGCAAACAAGCTAAATCTCACCGATGAACTGCTTTGCTTCTATGTGTGAGCTACGGCATAGTCTTTTGCTATAGTCCGATCCCGGATAGTACGAACGTTCATTATTTGTGGTCGTTAGCCCACCTCTGGATGTTTCTGTTACCGTCGGTGTCATCTTTGGCGTGGCCTTCACTGCCTCCTTAGCTTCGGATCTCGATCATGATAGACTTGATTCGAGTTGGTCAGAGCCCCGCGGTATCAGCATTGCTTCCGTCAAAGCACCAGTAGTCACCTGCTTCTGATCGAACCGAAGGCTCTTTTGCCCTATGAGCCCAGTGGTCTGAATTGGCCTTTTCTAGCTTGCATGTAGCGACTGTAATACTGTGCTCGTCCCGTTTCTTAACGCTGAGCGGGCTAACTAGTATATCGTTATGGCTGTGTCTATGCGGGTAAACCTGTGTTTGTATGTTTCTGTATATACACGTGACTATGTTTATCTATCGGTAAGTGTTAGTGAAAATGGCTGGAGAAGTGGGGAAGGCAGTAAAAGCGGGTCAATTTTCCTATATAAGAGAAATTTGCTAATAAATCGAGAAATTAACAGCATCGTAAAACGATCAAATTGTAACGGTCGATTGAGACGAAGCTGCTGGAAGGATGCCAAGTCGGATTAGTAACTCTTACTGTAGTAAAGGGAAAGCCCCCCGCTTTGGATGAAAATCACTAACGTACTTACTGACAGATTAAACCGAAGAAGATAGATTAAGCGGGGTCACGCATTTGCAGATAGTGCGCCCTAAGGAACATAACAACGTTAGGATGTTTAAAATACGTTTCGTAGCGAGCGTTACACACTTCTTACTAATATCGGTTACCCGCTGTGGTGATAAATAGACGGGACGGTTTGTAGCAGCACCGTTAGCGGTATCTAAATGATTTTTCTACTTTATATATATATATATGTGTATCTGTATAATGTGACGGAGTAGCGTGTTGAGTAACCTATTCTCCAGATCACTTCCACTACCGTCAGATTTAGGACTACGATGCCGCTTTGCCGCCGCTATGATTGCCGCGTTGACAATATCGTTTCTTCCTCATATCGCTGAGTGGCAACTTGTTTTTCGCTTCGCTCACGCTGCCATACACAATAACTCGAGTATAGTTTTAGTGCTACCTCCTCCTGATGTAGGGTAAGATCGAGAAAAAAAGTGATAGGTAAAATCCACCAGAGGCATTAAGTTGCACTGACCGAGTGTTTTGTCCACCCGCTGATCCCTACGTCGCATAGGTAAAATACCTCGGTTCACTTCTGCTGTTGCTGCTGGCTCGACTTCCGCTGCGATACCAGGCGATGCCGGCCGACGTAATTGTCGGTCGTAGTTGGCATGGCGTGCTGCTACTACTAGCGCTGTAATGTCTGCTATGGCGAATGGCGTCCGTTGCTAGCAAAGAACAGACAAGCACAGATGATTCTGGAAACAGCCATATGTGGTCTGGCTCGTAGAGAAAGAAAATGAGTGAGAGTCAAGCGCGGATGCAAAAATAATTCAGAGAAACAAAAACACTCATGGGGCGGGGGGGGGGTGGGGGTCACAGCCGTTGAGCGCTCTAACAACGTACGTGTCGTAGCGCATTTAGGTGTTGTGCGATAAGAAGTAATAATAATTGTACTTGTAATAATGAAATCCAACACTAAAGAATCGCACCGAAGTTAAGACAGCATTGCACGGAGTAGCCTAACAGGTCCATAGACGTAAAGTGGTCCTGATAGATGTCTGAGCTTGACAAAACAACTATTAAAGGTGTATAATGATAAAAGAGAACACACGAAGAGATAAAAAGTAAGAGACTGAAATGAATGCACGTGCTGCCACCAGAAAGTTTGGGCAGGCGAACGTGCTTGGAACATGTAGTAGACCTAAACAGCTCAAGGTGGAAGCGGTCATAGGCCGGAAGGCACAAAAAAAATGTTGTCCGTAAAGCGGATTGCGGACCCTATCATAGCACATTCATATGCATGCAGTCTAATTGACCAAATGACAAGCAGTCATTGCATTGAAAAAATCTAAAAGATATATGAACACCATTGGTAGTACTTAGCAGAGCCAAGATATTCCTTAGGGCAGAGTGGCACGAAGGGATATTAGTGCAGAAAGGATTTGATTGTCGTTAACAACTTTTTTTATTTGTTTTTCATTTTACATTAACGAAAAACAAAAAACCTTTTGTGTGAGATGGTCAACAATTGGCTCGATAAATACAAATTAAGCACGCAACAATTAATTTCAGTATAATACTAATAATAACTGGAGTGCCTTTACTAAGCAAAACAATAAGTGTCCTGTTCTTTTTGGTGCAGCTCTAGCACCGTATTCTCTAGTTACCCATACTCACATAGAAGTCTGCCAAAGTCAGTGCCTTGGCTGTAACTAGGGCAAGCTTCATTCTACTAGTTTGCACGCTGAGTATAACCGCGTAGAAGAAACTAATTGTTCTGGGTCTGTGTACCTGTCTGCTTATTTCAGGACACCTGCTCGCAGTAATCGATCGCTGTAGTAAGAACAAGCAGAATCTGTCCACCAAAAAGTCTGCTTCTGCCATTTTTTACCGTCGATTGACTTTCCCCTATGCCTATACTGTGATAGGATATGAATATTATGATTGGTCATTGCTTGATTGCATGCCCACACACGCGCGCGACCTAAATAGTACCACGGTCCTCATCGAAAATCCTTTACATTAAAATAAGTGCCCACAAAGTAAATTTCCCCCTCGAATTATTCCACAGGATGTATTCTGGTACGGCTCCAGTTATCTAGCATTTGGCAAATAGAGTTAAACGACTGATCTTCATTTACCAACTCTGTCCATCTTATTCTCAAGCTTAAAGTACGCTCATATTAGAACGACTTTAATCTGGTAGAATAAAGTAAACGTTTCGTGGCACAGCGAGTCGAAAGTCTAGTCGAATTTTAATAGTTCAAAAAGAGGACACGACCATTTGTTTTCAGCAAAATTGTATTCAGCTGCTGTAATCGTCGTCGTAGTAGCCATACAAAGCTAGCAAAAACCAATACGAACAAACGGGCGGTGAGCCCCCCGAAACAAACATTGAGCTATTGCCGTTGCCACTGAGATAGATCTACGCGCAGCGGTGTTTGCTCCTGTTAAACGTTATCTGTTCCAGCGTTCAGCGGTTATCCGGCCGCGGAAAATAACCCTGATCAACGTTTGAACGAGATGGTTGATTTTTCAGCCGCTTACATACATTGTCAAATAAAAGCGGGCATTGACACGCGTACATGCATATAAAAGTTCGCAGCGTTACAGAGTAAACGAGACGAATCTTCGATTTACTATGGACGAAGCTGAAAGCTAGTTAGAGCGAACGCTTCATGAGTCGTTAATCAAATTGAATTCAATGGGTAGACTATGCTGGAAGCTGACAGAGAACGCACGAGCAAATGACCAATGTAAACAACATAGAAGGCTGCGGCAAAGGCTGAAGAGTGACTATGAGGCTATGAGTGTACGCTAACCCTAGTGAAACAAATTTTTCGAAAATCCGTGCTCTAGATAAAATTATTTTTGCATAACAAATGGTTGAACGTTTGTCAGGCGGAGCGTTCGTCGACTAAATTGCGCCAGCTTCAGATTTTGTACGACCGTTAAAGCCGCTTGAAACAGACACGCTGCCGATGTATAATAGAAATGAAGTACTCACCGAATGATACGACTGTCTATATATACATAAAGCATTTACTTGATAAGCTTTGTTTAATACGTAAAAAAAAAGATGCTGCTGGATATTTTTATGGTTCTATACATGGGCCAGCAAAAAAAAACGTTGAAAACAAAAAAAAAT